CTGTTAGTTAACACTAAATCTAAAATATTATTTTCCCGTGTTGGTTCCTTAATGTGTTGCGTAAGAAAGCAATCGTCAATTAATTCTAGAAAATCTTCTGCTTCACTATTCCCTGTTTTGTTCAACCAGTTTATTCCGCTAAAATTAAAGTCACCCATGACATAAATACTGTTAGATCTAGATGCTCTAGATATTTCATCCCATAGATGCTTTGCTTCCATTCTGTCTAAATTTGGTGGCCTATATATTACTCCTATTATAATATTATTAGCTTTTTCGTTTAATTCAATCCAAATAGTTTCTGTGTGTGGCTCTGTTTTGATTCCCTCTTTGAGACTACATTTCAAATTGTCCCTAACATATATGGCTACTCCACCTCCTCGTCTAATATATCTATCTGTGTGAAATAGTTTAAATCCATATATTTGATATTCAGCTAATAGTTCTCTATTTTCTACATTCATCCACGTTTCGGTAAGTGCAATAATATCTATTTTTTCTGTGCAGACAAGAGCATTTAATTCGTTAATTTTATTTCTTAGACTTCTACTGTTAGTGTAATATACCCTAAGTGAATTGTTATTTTGCGGACCTTCTCTTTCCCTGATCGTTTTGCCAATTCCTTTCTCCCACAAACACATACTTTTATTACCTCCTTCCTCCAAATCAATTCCCATACCTCTATCTACTAACAGTTTAAACCCAAACAAACACCTCTAACCACTTCTTCTAGCGAGTTCGCAACAGCAACAACCCCAGCTCTCGATAGATGCACCCCATCACGAGCATACATTTCATTTCTTCCATAGAAGTGTTCCCAGTTGTCTATGAAAGATATTGCATTTGATTTGCAATATCTTTCCAGCCGGCAATTGACACCAAGTGCCCTCGATATCCATTCATTTCCCACTCCCTTTCTTGGAAGAATGCCACATATGATCGGGATTCCTCCCTTGCTCCTAACTAACTCTATGGCTGTTTTATACCTCTGAATCAGTTCCTCACTCCTGACTCGACCAACATCATTTCCTCCCACGCTAATGCAAATAATGGGATTGTTCCCATTACCAGCCATAATATCATTCATGTTGTTTATAATATCACCAATGCCAGCTCCGGGATAGCAAACCCTTAACCTGTTCCCCCTATCTCTAGCACAAAACGTTCTATCCAAATACCTTATCTGGGAATCTCCCACAACTAATGTTTGCTTAGGTACTTCCTTTACTTTCTGAGGGGCCTGCGCTTCCTTTCTCTTCGTTGCTTTCCCTTTTGCGCGATCCACAGTCTCTCCACAGCACTCGTCCTCCAAAACGTCAAATGAATTTGAAGTTGCTATGGCGTTTGAAGGCGGCTTTATCAAAGTCTTCTTAAGGCCCCTGTCTTTCGCAACTCTCCAAGACGAGGTCCCTTTACTGCTGGTCTCCTCCTTCGTTACTTCTCGTTGTTTTTTAAGCTGACGCACCTCCTCCCGCAGAGAGTCCAACTCTGTCCTCAGGGCTCCCACTAGAGTCACCAGGTCCTTCACTACAACTTCCATATTGCTATGATAATATAACAACACTCAGGAGCTCCGGTTAACACAACCTCTCACTGTGACTTCACCTGACTTGTGCTTACGGCTCCTTCGGCCCGCCTCTCAACTGTTACTAACTACTAACTAATTTATATTTTTTTCCCATTCACCCAGGAAGCAGCTTCGTAACAGCTGTCTAACACCTAGGTACCTATTTACTGCTAGGTAACAGGGGGCATTCAGGGTGAAAGAAACTTTACCCATTTGTTTCTGCCTGGACCGGGAATCGAACCCAGACCATAGAATTACGAGTCCTGCGCGCTGTTCGCTCAGCTACCAGATGTGTGTGTGTTTGTGTGTATTCACCTAGTTGTGCTGGCGGGGGTTGAGCTCTGCTCTTTCGGTCCGCCTCTCAACTGTCAATCAACTGTTTCTACTACTACTTTTTTTTTTCCCACACCACACTCACCCCAGGAAGCCGCCCGTGACAGCTGACCAACTCCCAGGTACCTATTACTGCTAGATAACAGGGGGCATAGGGTGAAAGAAACTCTGCCGATCGTTTCTCGCCGGCGCCCGGGATCGAACCCGGACCACAGGATCACGTGTCCAGCGTGCTGTCCGCTGGGCCACCGGCTCCCTTGGGCGTGTGTGTGTGTGTGTGTAATTTTGGTCCTGGTTTTACACTCTGTGGTCTGGTGTGGGTTTGGTTCTTATTTATACAAACATATTTATCTTATATCCTAACACACACAATATTGATAAAAAAAAAGACACTTCTGGTATGACATTTGTATTGTTGAGAAAATTGTGGCATTTTTTCAGGTGGCCATCTGTACATGTTCTATTGTTATTGTTTGTCTACATTTACACCTCACAGAGACAATATTCACATATTTATACTGTGTACTGTGGCTGAGTCTACACTTGCTGTAGTCTGTTTTAGTTCAGTTTTTTTTTTAATTGAAACTGGTATTTGAGAAGTGTATCTTGAATGTGTAGTTAATGTGTGTACAGTATTTGTGTCTGGATGTGTGGTGTTATAAACTGTTTATGGTGCCACAGTACACTGTATTGTTCCTCCCACCACCAGTAAACTGTTTATGGTGCCACAGTACACTGTATTGTTTCTCCCACCACCAGTAAACTGTTTATGGTGCCACAGTACACTGTATTGTTCCCCCCACCACCAGTAAACTGTTTATGGTGCCACAGTACACTGTATTGTTTCTCCCACCACCAGTAAACTGTTTATGGTGCCACAGTACACTGTATTGTTCCTCCCACCACCAGTAAACTGTTTATGGTGCCACAGTACACTGTATTGTTCCTCCCACCACCAGTAAACTGTTTATGGTGCCACAGTACACTGTATTGTTTCTCCCACCACCAGTAAACTGTTTATGGTGCCACAGTACACTGTATTGTTCCTCCCACCACCAGTAAACTGTTTATGGTGCCACAGTACACTGTATTGTTCCTCCCACCACCAGTAAACTGTTTATGGTGCCACAGTAAACTGTATTGTTCCTCCAGTAAATTGCGTGGACACATTTGTGCGGACATCCTGCCGGCGGGACGCACTACCAACCTGATTATTTGACTCGGAAAGTTCCTTCTCATGCACCATCGATTTCCACACGGGTGAGGAGCAGGAGGGAGGACAGGTTAAAGTGGTGGGAACGGGCGCTGCCTTGCTCAGGCTCCTTCCTCCCTCAACCTTCATCTTCTATAATTGGTTCTCAACACTACAAACTTACTTTTAATAGACAAGCATGCACCACGTTCATAATGCATATTATGACCGTACTTTTATTTGGCGAGTACATAGAAATAACATATTTTGTTATATAATTATAAAATCAGTCTCTCTCTCTCTCTCTCTCTCTCTCTCTCTCTCTCTCTCTCTCTCTCTCTCTCTCTCTCTCTCTCTCCTCTCTCTCTCTCTCTCTCTCCTCTCTCTCTCCTCTCTCTCTCTGTCTCTCTCTGTCTCTCTGTCTCTCTGTCTCTCTCTCTCTCTCTCTCTCCTCTCTCTCTCTCCTCTCTCTCTCTCTCTCTCTCTCTCTCTCTCTCTCTCTCTCTCAAGGTGTCCCTATTCAATCAGTAAATGTCTTTGAAAGGCAATTTATTTTCCCTCTCGAGCTCCGAAGCGAACTATATTTTTAGTCTGGAATTCCCAGACTGAGAGAAGATTGGAAGGTGGTCTGAATGTTGTAATTAAAGGCAAAGTGTCATCCAGAGGGAGGTACGTATATTGGAGGGAGGAAGCCAGCACTAAGCCATGAAGTTTGGCTTCATTTACTTCCATACAACACAACATCGAATACAATAACAGTTAACTTTCCAAAAAAAGAGACCAAAACATGTTGTTTTTCAATTACATTCTTATTGATAGAACATTGGAAATCCTACACTTACGGAATACACAACCAAGCTTCTTTAATGAGCACGCTGGCACCATGCACATAATTTCAGCATAAACTACTAGAAGTTTGTATACAATAGTTCCTGCTATTGGGACCAGGCACTTGGGCTGGACGGCAGAACGACCGTCTCGCTTCATGCAAGTCGACGTTCAATCCGCGACCGTCCAAGTGGTTTGGGATTAAGTAAACTATACTCACCTATTTGTGCTTGCGGGGGTTGAGCTTTACCTCTTTGGCCCCGCCTCTCAACTGTCAATCAACTGGTGTACAGGTTCCTGGGCCTACTGGGCTCTATCATATCTACATTTGAAACTGTGTATGGAGTCAGTCTCCACCACATCACTGCCTAATGCATTCCATCTGTTAACTACTCTGACACTGAAAAAGTTCCTTCTAATGTCTCTGTGGCTCATGTGGGTACTTAGTTTCCACCTGTGTCCTGACACTGTGTGTGTGTGTGTGTGTGTGTGTGTGTGTGTGTGTGTGTGTGTGTGTGTGTGTGTGTGTGTGTGTGTGTGTGTAGGGTTACCTTGAGAAGTATAGTATACCTCTCGGTGTATACCGGCCGGCGTGCTGTAACCTCACCAGGTAGCTATTTTCTGTACAATAGTATATGCACTGAATTGGAATAATTGTATAAATGACATAAGTAATGTGAAGGTGCTTGTGTTGGGTGTGACAGTGTTGTGTTGGGTGTGACAGTGTTGTGTTGGGTGTGACAGTGTTGTGTTGGTGCATGTGTTGGGTGTGACAGTGTTGTGTTGGGTGTGACAGTGTTGTGTTGGGTGTGACAGTGTTGTGTTGGGTGTGACAGTGTTGTGTTGGGTGTGACAGTGTTGTGTTGGTACATGTGTTGGGTATGAGAGTAACAGTGTGTCGTGTTCTGCCTGTTATATACATGTTGCCAGGTCTTATTATAGAGTTATGGTAGGAAATATTATATATACATTAGCAGTATCCGAAGCTGTGACTTGTAAGAACCTCACATAAGATACTTCACAAAGGGCAGTCAGCCTTTACACTTATGTTATTACGACATTAATGGTTATGGAGAGAAGATGTATCACGGTACTTCTCTCACCAAGTATCACGGTACTTCTCTCACCAAGTATCACGGTACTTCTCTCACCAAGTATCACGGTACTTCTCTCACCAAGTATCACGGTACTTCTCTCACCAAGTATCACGGTACTTCTCTCACCAAGTATCACGGTACTTCTCTCACCAAGTATCACGGTACTTCTCTCACCAAGTATCACGGTACTTCTCTCACCAAGTATCGCGGTACTTCTCTCACCAAGTATCACGGTACTTCTCTCACCAAGTATCGCGGTACTTCTCTCACCAAGTATCGCGGTACTTCTCTCACCAAGTATCGCGGTACTTCTCTCACCAAGTATCGCGGTACTTCTCTCACCAAGTATCGCGGTACTTCTCTCACCAAGTATCGCGGTACTTCTCTCACCAAGTATCACGGTACTTCTCTCACCAAGTATCACGGTACTTCTCTCACCAAGTATCACGGTACTTCTCTCACCAAGTATCACGGTACTTCTCTCACCAAGTATCACGGTACTTCTCTCACCAAGTATCACGGTACTTCTCTCACCAAGTATCGCGGTACTTCTCTCACCAAGTATCGCGGTACTTCTCTCACCAAGTATCGCGGTACTTCTCTCACCAAGTATCGCGGTACTTCTCTCACCAAGTATCACGGTACTTCTCTCACCAAGTATCGCGGTACTTCTCTCACCAAGTATCGCGGTACTTCTCTCACCAAGTATCGCGGTACTTCTCTCACCAAGTATCGCGGTACGTGTCATTCACTTCATTATATATTTATAACAATTCATTGACTCAAGAGGTTTGAGCCAATAACCTTTTCATTACCTATTGCACGCAAATACATGTTGAAAATTGACTTCAATTTGGTAAACATAAGCCAAGGTAGACAATGTATAGCTTACAGTACCATTTACAGTTTACAAAATCTCTGTAGGTAAATGTGCTTATGAATGTAAAAAAATGATGAGACGCTTCATGTTCATAATGAGAATATATGAGTGTTCAGTCGGCCAGACATACACCGTCTTGACCCCCTGGTCGTCCCACTGATTGCTGCATCCCCCAAGCACTTGTGAGCGGGGTATCAACTATGGTGTTCCTGTGCATGAACACGTGCATGTGTACAGAACAGCTGTATATGAGTACGGAACAGTTGCATATGAGTACGGAACAGTTGCATATGAGTACGGAACAGTTGTATATGGGTACGGAACAGTTGCATATGAGTACGGAACAGTTGCATATGGGTACGGAACAGTTGTATATGGGTACGGAACAGTTGCATATGAGTACGGAACAGTTGCATATGGGTACGGAACAGTTGTATATGGGTACGGAACAGTTGTATATGAGTACGGAACAGTTGCATATGGGTACGGAACAGTTGCATATGAGTACGGAACAGTTGCATATGGGTACGGAACAGTTGTATATGGGTACGGAACAGTTGTATAATGAGTACGGAACAGTTGCATATGGGTACGGAACAGTTGAGTACGGACAGTATGGGTACGGAACAGTTGTATATGGGTACGGAACATATATGAGTACGGAACAGTTGTATATGAGTACGGAACAGTTGCATATGAGTACGGAACAGTTACATATGAGTACGGAACAGTTGCATATGAGTACGGAACAGTTACATATGAGTACGGAACAGCTGCATATGAGTACGGAACAGCTGCATATGAGTACGGAACAGTTGCATATGAGTACGGAACAGTTACATATGAGTACGGAACAGTTGCATATGAGTACGAAACAGTTACATATGAGTACGGAACAGTTGCATATGAGTACGGAACAGTTACATATGAGTACGGAACAGTTGCATATGAGTACGGAACAGTTGCATATGAGTACGGAACAGTTACATATGAGTACGGAACAGTTGCATATGAGTACGGAACAGTTACATATGAGTACGGAACAGTTACATATGAGTACGGAACAGTTGCATATGAGTACGGAACAGCTGCATATGAGTACGGAACAGCTGCATATGAGTACGGAACAGCTGCATATGAGTACGGAACAGTTACATATGAGTACGGAACAGTTGCATATGAGTACGGAACAGTTACATATGAGTACGGAACAGCTGCATATGAGTACGGAACAGCTGCATATGAGTACGGAACAGTTACATATGAGTACGGAACAGTTGCATATGAGTACGGAACAGTTACATATGAGTACGGAACAGTTGCATATGAGTACGGAACAGTTACATATGAGTACGGAACAGTTGCATATGAGTACGGAACAGTTACATATGAGTACGGAACAGTTGCATATGAGTACGGAACAGCTGCATATGAGTACGGAACAGTTACATATGAGTACGGAACAGTTACATATGAGTACGGAACAGTTGCATATGAGTACGGAACAGCTGCATATGAGTACGGAACAGCTGCATATGAGTACGGAACAGCTGCATATGAGTACGGAACAGTTACATATGAGTACGGAACAGCTGCATATGAGTACGGAACAGTTACATATGGGTACGGAACAGCTGCATATGGGTACGGAACAGCTGCATATGGGTACGGAACAGTTACATATGAGTACGGAAGTTACATATGGGTACGGAACCGTTGCATATGGGTACGGAACAGCTGCATATGAGTACGGAACAGCTGCATATGAGTACGGAACAGTTACATATGAGTACGGAACAGCTGCATATGAGTACGGAACAGCTGCATATGGGTACGGAACAGTTGCATATGAGTACGGAACAGTTACATATGAGTACGGAACAGTTGCATATGAGTACGGAACAGCTGCATATGAGTACGGAACAGCTGCATATGAGTACGGAACAGTTACATATGAGTACGGAACAGCTGCATATGGGTACGGAACAGTTACATATGAGTACGGAACAGTTACATATGAGTACGGAACAGTTACATATGAGTACGGAACAGTTGTATATGAGTACGGAACAGTTACATATGAGTACGGAACAGTTACATATGAGTACGGAACAGTTGTATATGAGTACGGAACAGCTGCATATGAGTACGGAACAGTTACATATGGGTACGGAACAGCTGCATATGGGTACGGAACAGCTGCATATGGGTACGGAACAGTTACATATGAGTACAAAACAGTTACATATGGGTACGGAACAGTTGCATATGGGTACGGAACAGTTGTATATGAGTATGGAACTGCTGCATATGGGTACGGAACAGTTGTATATGAGTACGGAACAGCTGCATATGGGTACGGAAGAGTTGCATATGGGAACGGAACAGTTGTATATGAGTACGGAACAGTTGCATATGGGTACGGAAGAGCTGTTCAAGAGTATGGAGCAGCTGGGTATGAATACATCCAATACACAAAAATGATCTTAAAAGCTGAAAAATGTAATTGCAAGGCCCAGCTACCAAGAATGGTGCCCCAGCTATAAGATTGTTGATGTAAACAAAGCAGGATCCCAGGTGAAGGGTGAGGCGTATACTGATATACTCCAAGTGTGCTGGCTGAAGGTCGCGCCTCACACCAACATCACCATACAGCATGTAGCACATATGATGTTACCTCCAAACTCCTCCGCTGTTGACAGGGCGCTAGTTGACGTAGCCAGCCATATAGTACACCGGTGTACACTACCAGCCGCAGGAGGAGTACAGGTATAAGATAACCCGTACAGGGAGGAGAAGGTGAAAAAGAACAGATAAGAATACGAATGAAAATTATATTTTAGGAAGAGGTAGATGAAAATGAAGTAGAGAATGGGGAAGTGATAAAACAAACAGCACCGAGTGTCAAGTACGGAGTAGAAGGAAGATCAACTTTGTTTACAGTGGCGGCGCCCGCCCCCTCCCCCCCCCCCCCTGCTTCTGGGAACCCCTTTAACTTCCTGCTAATTTCCCCTTGAGCTGGAGGCTTTCCCAGAACTGCTGACAACCCAAGTTATGACGCTCACACTCACTGCTACTCTTTCATCTATATTTTTGTCCTGAACCAAATCTTTCCGTCTACCGTAACAACGTCATTCTGTTTGTTCCAGTGAGATATTATAGATAAATATCTTCTTGATAACATTGACGCGAGTCAACAGTACAAAGTCTTAGGCTCCTTGGGGCCAGATTCACGAAGCAGTTACGCAAGCACTTACAAACCTGTCCATCTTTTCTCAATTTTTGGCAGCTTTGTTTACAATAATTAAACAGTTAATGAGCTCCGAAGCACCAGGAGGCTGTTTATAACAATAACAACAGTTGATTTGGAAGTTTTTATGCTTGTAAACTCTTTAATAAATGAAACCAAAGCCGTCAAAGATTGAGGAAAGATGTCCACGTTCGTAAGTACTTGCGTAACTGCTTCGTGAATCTGGCCCCAGTTTCTTATGGGCATGTAAGAACGTAGTTCCATATATAAATTTATAATTATATAATTTTATAAATTTTAAAATATATAAGAAATTAGTATATATATTGTAATTTGTGTTACGAATGTATTTCATATATATACAAAAACTGGGGCGAAGCATCTTTTCCAAATTTTATTGGAAATTTACCTTTTATGAAAATAAAGGAGTGCAACATAAATTGAAGTGAACACTTAATTAAGTTTGGGCAAGGAAAGGTGTTCTTTGGTCAAAAGAAGGACACCAAATGGCATGAAACAGATTACACAAATATGCTCACTAAAGATGTTCGGAGCCTGAGTACACACTACGGGAAGCATATCACTAAAAGAAGCCAAGAACTGCACAAAGCAAACACATTAATATGCAGTATCAATTGAGAAAATCAATAGGAGCCATGAAAAGGATTCGAACCTGCACGCTACAGGTACTCCCAAGCCTTAAACCACTGAGCCACGATATGCTACAAAAGTCACGTAACCAGGGATTCAGGTGAATCGTCTCTGGTGTAACAGTGTCAGGGCATTTCACTGTTCCCAGTTGTGAGTTGTGAGTGTTAGCTGTGTGGGGCTGTGTGCTCCTTTACCTCCTCCTCCCCACCTCTAGTAGAGTGGGGCTATAGAGGGTTGATAGAGTCATGTATTACAATGATAACAGCCACCTGGTGTTACAAGGGATCCGGAGGCATCTTCTGATACCAGATCAGGGTGTCACGCATTATCTGCGTGCTCTCTGCCATACACCACAGCTGAGTGGATCCAGGTAGTGAGTGAAACCCTGATCTAGGTACACGCAGACATAATCCTCAAGTTATTATTATTAATATCTTTATTGACACAATTAATTACAATTTTGCCTAATCTGAGTAATTCAATTAGGTCTAATTAGAGTGAGGATAATGCTGGTATTCACTGTCACACAGGACAGAGGGTCATACACAAGACAATAAGTCTAAACTGTAGGCTGGAACACACACACACACACACACACACACACACACACACACACACACACACACACACACACACACACACACACACACACACACACACACACAACCTCTTTCAACCTCCACACAACCTTTCAACCATGGAAAGATAAACTGGGAGAATGGGGACCCACATGGTGGTGCAGATACGTGGCGAGCTAAACTCTTGGAAGTGGCAACAAGGAATTTTCTGAGCCAGCATGTCAAGGAACCCACAAGAGTGAGAGGCAATGATGAACCAGCTAGACTCGACTTGACATTCACCCCTGAATGAGTCAGAAATAAGGGAAGTTAAAGTTGAAGCCCCCATAGAAATGAGTGACCACAGTGTACTGACCTTTGAGTACTTGGTGGAGGTAGGATAACCTATCCAAGGATGGGATCGGAGGGAAAAAGACTGAATTACCGAAGAGGAAAATATGACGAGATGAGGAACTTCCTCAGGGGAATACCATGGGAAACAGAACTTCGAGACAAGAATGTGCAGGTCATGATGGAGTTTGTCATCCAGAAGTGCCAGGAAGCTGCAGACAGGTTAATCCCCGTCCAAAAGGAGACAAACGAAAAACAACAGAAAATCCCATTGTTCAACCAGGAATGCAAGGTAGCGAAACAACTGAGTAAAAGAACATCTTGAGGTTATCTTGAGATGATTTCGGGGCTTTTTTTTTTTTTAGTGTCCCCGCGGCCCGGGGACACTAAAAACCAGCGTCACACCAGCGTCACACCAGCGCCACACCAGCACCACACCAGCACCACACCAGCGCCACACCAGCACCACACCAGCACCACACCAGCGCCACACCAGCGCCACACCAGCGCCACACCAGCACCACACCAGCGTCACACCAGCACCACACCAGCGCCACACCAGCACCACACCAGCGCCACACCAGCGCCACACCAGCGCCACACCAGCGCCACACCAGCGTCACACCAGCACCACCCAGCACCACACCAGCGCCACACCAGCACCACACCAGCGCCACACCAGCACCACACCAGCATCACCACACCAGCACCACACCATCGCCACACCAACGCCACCAGCACCACACCACACCAGCGCCACACCAGCACCACTCCAGCGCCACACCATCACCACACCAGCACCACACCAGCGCCACACCAGCACCACACCAGCACACACCAGCACACCCCCGCACCAGCGCCACACCAGCGCCACAGCACATCCAGCGCCACACCACAGCGCCACACCAGCACCACGCCAACGCCACACCACGTCCACACCAGCGCCACACCAGCACCACACCATCACCACACCAGCACCACACCAGCACCACACCATCCACACCACACCATCGCCACCCACACCAGCACCACACCAGCACCACACCAGCACCACACCAGCACCACACCAGCCCACACGCGCCACACCACACACCAGCGCACACCAGCACCACACCACAGCGCCACACCAGCCCACAGCACCACACCAGCACCACACAGCACCACACCAGCACCACCAGCACCACACCAGCGCCACACCAGCCCACACCAGCACCACACCAGCACCACACCAGCGCCACACCAGCACCACACCAGCGCCACACCAGCACCACACTCACCACACCATCACCACACCAGCGCCACACCAGCACCACACCAGCACCCCAGCGCCACACCAGCACCACACCAGCGCCACACCATCACCACACCAGCGCCACACCACACCACACCAGCACCACACGCGCCACACCAGCACCACACCAGCGCCACACAGCACCAAACCAGCGCCACACCAGCACCACACCAGCCCACACCAGCACACCACACCAGCACCACACCACACCACACCAGCGCCACACCAGCACCAACACCAGCGCCACACCAGCACCACACCAGCGCCACACCAGCGCCACACCAGCGCCACACCAGCACCACACCAGCACCACACCAGCACCACACCAGCACCACACCAGCGCCACACCAGCACCACACCAGCGCCACACCATCACCACACCAGCACCACACCATCACCACACCAGCGCCACACCAGCGCCACACCAGCACCACACCAGCGCCACACCAGCACCACACCAGCGCCACACCAGCGCCACACCAGCACCACACCAGCACCACACCAGCGCCACACCAGCACCACACCAGCGCCACACCAGCACCACACCAGCGCCACACCCACACCACACCAGCGTCACACCATCACCACACAGCACCACACCACACCCAGCGCCACACCACACCATCGCCACACCAGAACCACACCAGCGTCCACACCAGCACCACACCAGCACCACACCAGCGCCACACCACGCCACCCAGCACCACAACCACACCAGCGCCACACACATCACCACTCCAGCGCCACACCAGCACCACACCAGCACCACACCACCAGCGCCACACCATCACCACACCACACCACACCAGCACCACAGCACACCAGCGCCACACCACACCACAGCACACCAGCGCCACACCAGCACCACACCATCACCACGCCAGCGCCACACCACCGCCACACCAGCACCACATCAGTGCCACACCAGCACCACACCAGCACCACACCCACACCACACCACAGCGCCACACCAGCACCACACCACGCCACACCAGCACCACACCAGCGCCACACCAGCACCACACCAGCACCACACCAGCACCACACCACACCCACACCAGCGCCACTCCAGCACCACACCAGCGCCACACCAGCACCACTCCAGCGCCACACCACACCATCGCCACACCAGCACCACACCAGCACCACACCACACCACACCAGCACCACCCAGCACCACACCAGCGCCACACCACGCCACACCAGCACCACACCAGCACCACACCAGCGCCACACCAGCACCACACCATCGCGCCACACCAGCACCACACCATCACCACACCAGCGCCACACCAGCACACCAGCACACCAGCACCACACCAGCACCACACCAGCACACCACACCAGCGCCACACCAGCACCAAACCAGCCACCCCACGCCACACCATCACCCACACCAGCACCACAACCACACCACACAGCACACCCACAGCGCCACACCAGCGC